CCATCCGGGGGGCTTCTGGGCAGCGGTGACTGTCACGCCGAGAGAAACCTTTCGGGGGCTCTCGCCGCGCCTCTGCTGCGTCGCGGGTGACACTGCGGTGCTCGCGAGCGGGGCGGCAGCTGCGTCTCGGTGGCGACGTCTCGGGCCCCGTGCGCCCTCCCTCTCCCCTTCCTCCGCCGCTGCTGGCTCCTTCCCTCGCCCGCTCACGCCCGCAGCCTCCGGAGCGGGACGCGTGCGTCCCCACCGCCTTCGTCTCCTTCAAAGGGGCCTCCTCACGTCGGAGATGCAATGACAAGTTAATATGGGCGTCCCAGCCTCGGTCTCCCAGGAGGAAAATTGCAAGAGGCAGCAGCCCTTGAGCGCCCAGAGCTCTTGAACAGGCCGCCCGGGAGGGGCGTGAGACCCGGCTGCAGCATCCGTCCAGGTGGGACCCGCCGAGCGCCGTGTCCGGTACCCCCAAAGGCGCACGCTCGCGCGATTGCTCCGAGCTCCCCGACCCGGGGATTTTTTTCGCCGCTGGTGGTGGGCGCCTCGTGGGCTGAGGCCCGGCGCCTGCTCTGCTCCCGCGCTGCCTTTAGCGGTCGCCTCCGCTGCCGCTGCCAGGGACGTGCTGGGAAAACCCAAGCCCCGGGAGAAGATGCCGGCCATCCTGGTCGCCTCCAAAATGAAGTCGGGACTGCCCAAACCCGTACACAGCGCGGCGCCCATCCTGCACGTGCCCCCGGCCCGGGCCGGCCCCCAGCCCTGCTACCTCAAGTTGGGAAGCAAGGTGGAGGTGAGCAAGACCACCTTCCCTAGCCAGATCCCCCTGAAATCGCAGGCGCTGCAGGAGCCAGCGGGGGAGGGGCTCCCGCTGCGGAAGAGTGGCTCGGTGGAAAACGGGTTCGATACCCAGGTGAGAGGTGCTGGGTGCCGGGCGCTGTTCTGGGAGGATGGGCGAATGCTTCTGGAGGGGGTGGTGGCGGGCAAGGCTGGGTGGGAGAAAGGGCTATCATGTGGGCGGGGAAAGGAGCTGTCCCCCCTTGGGCCAGCTGGCCGGGGGATGCACAGGGAGAGTGGGCCGGCCGGTGGGTGTGGCGCGGGTGTGGGAGGTTTGCCTAAGAGCTCTTCCAGACCTGGGGTGGTGGGCACGCCTGCAGCATCTTTCTGGAGAGCGGAGCACGGCCAGGATGTTCTCAAACAATAAATTAATTGATTCAACAAAATAAAAACAAAATAATAAAATAAACGTGTGCCGCACTGGAAATGTCAGGTCCTGCATTTGAGGTCTTGGTCCCAAAAAGGCTGTATCTGCGGCAGCAGCTGTGTGTCTGTCTGGTGGTTCGCAGAGCCTCTCTTCCCGACGAGGCCCCCACTGGGTTCGACGCCTCCTAGCCCGGCTGCAGGATCCAGGAATCGGGGACTGGGAGCGGCAGTGGACCTGCTGTCCCCTTGGCTCTGTCTCTGTCTCTTGGCCCCAGTCTCTTGGCCCCTGTCTCTGCCCCCATCGGATGGCGGGATGACGGACAAGGTGCTGGACCGCAGGACTGGTGCACCAGCCGAGGTGGCGGCCGGCCGGAGACTCCAAGCGTCTTGGCTGGCTGCTGCGGTGGGGGTGGGGGTGGCTGCCTCGGAATGGCGGCCGAAGCTAAGCCCCTCCTTCCTGGGTGGTAGACCCCGGCTGGGTAGCCCTAGTGACTGGGGCTGGGGGTGGGAGATGGTGTGAAGAGAAGTGGTGACTTCTACCTTTCCACACAGAGCCGGCATCACCCAATTCGGCTGGGTGGCAAGCCCGGGCCTTGCGATCTCTTTGACGGAAATTAGCAAGCGCCAATCAGGTTCTCTTGGCCTCCTGCCCTCCCTGCTGCTTCTCCCTCCCTCCACCCGGTCCCCCCGCCCCGCGCGCCCCCCTCTCCAACCCGGAGCATGCTGTATTTTCTTGGCAGTTGGTCAGCAGGGACTTTTGGGGACAGGCCGACCTGACGGATGTGACTGTCCCGGTCAAGCCAGAGGGGGAGGTGGCTGGGGGCTGGTGTCGGGAAAGTGGCAACAGACCAGCTGACCTTTTTGGCACATACTTCTCGGCTGACACTGTCTCCACCTTCTCCTGGAGATTTCTCTGATCGAGGCTAGAGCTCAACACATTCCTAGCCTTTCTGATGGGGAACTGGAGCTGGAAGCTAATTGTAAACAGACTTTTGGAGTACTGGGCTGGAGAAAGCCCTCAAAGCAGATTAAGCTCCCACACCAGGCCGATAAGCATGCCCCTTGCTGCTGCACTTGCTAAACATTTTTGGAAGCTGACAGGTCTGAGTGATGGTGTGTGGGAGGGAGGGAAGATTTCCTCCAGTGCTCTGGGGCTGCCTCTGCTAGGGTTCTGTGCTCTGCTCACCTTCTGTTGTCAGCTAAGGGGTCAGTCCGGGGGGCTCAGAAGTGGGGATGAGCTCCAGGGTACACTCCATGAGGAGTTCTCCTCCCTCTGTGGAGGTGGGGCTTATTAGGTGTGCGTGGGTGGTCAGAGTGGTGACTCGGGATGTGACACACACCCTCGAGCCTGATGAGGAGGACCTGAGGAATGACAGGGAAAGTCCACAATGGGATTGTTCCACTCCAGACAGCTGTTTTGCCTCTGCCCATTTGACCCTTCCTGTAACAGACACTGTTGCAGGGGGAAGGCTCTGGAAAGGTGATTCATCACCTCATCCCTGAAAAAATGCTCTCTGGCTTCTCTCTGAAGGGCTGGCATGGTCCAGTTCCCTCAAGATGTTGCTTCCCTCTTTCACCCTTGGCCTGCAATACCCAGGATCCCACAGTTCACCTGTCTGGCCCTCAGCAGGCCCCATGCACTAGCCGTGAGCATGGCTCAGATAGACCACTAAGGAAATTGGCCACTTTCCAGGGGACTATCCTGTTTGTGTTTTATCAGCTTGCCCTTCCCTTGTCAATTTCTGAGGGTCCTGGGTGCTCTTCTCTGCAGGAGATGGCAGATCCTTGTTCACACAGCCCCACCCTGATATCACAGCAACTTTGGCAAAAGCAATTTTGCCTTCTTTGGCTGGGGCTTCTCCCACACTTTGACCGACATGATGCCTGTTGGCTCTCCAGAAAGGTCTCTTGGTAATCGCAGATAACCACTGTGTCTGACATGCCGTCTAGTAGTTTCCAGGCCTCAAATCTGGTGTTTATTATTAGAAGATACTCAGGAAACAATGAATTAAATGACAAGTGATATCTCAGGGCCTCTGACTCATCTTTTATTCAAAGGAAGTTGGGTTGTACAGTGGTTAATAGCACAGGTTTTAAAGTCAGATGGGTATCAGTGGTGCCCTGTGTCTGTCATATACTACCTAGATGACCTTGTCAATTAACTTCTCCAGGCCTCAGTGTTCCCATCTGTCAAAATGGGCATTAACAGCCACAAGAATTGTTGTGAGCATTAAGGAAAACCACATATGTGAGGTGTTTAGTGCAGTGTCTGCAAATAAGGAACGCTTAACTGCTTATATTGCTAACCCAAGACAAAGGGCACGTTGAGCCTAAATTTGATAGCCCCTAAGTGAGAAAAGACATGGCTTATTTTCTCAAGCCCTTGGGAAGTATCAACCTGTTCACATGGGTTTACAGAGCATCAGTCACGTGCCTCATGCAGTACCTGGTACAGTGGGAAGATGAGGAAAGGGCACGACACTTGTTGAGTGCCTGATGGGCTGGGCTCTGTCTCATTTCATCTTCTCAGCAACACTTAAAGCAGGTCTGAGACATCCATTTTCTGTGACAATCATATAATAATAATGATGATGATGATGATAGCAGATCCTTATGTAGCATGTTTTATGTGCCAGGAACTGTTCTAGGGACTTTATATAAAATAACTCATTTTACATTAAAAGCAATCTATTGTGATAAGTGTTATTATCCCAATTTTACACATGTGGAAACTGAGTCAAAGAGCAGTTTGGTGAGCTTATGAGCAGCAGAGGTAGAATTAGAACTTGGTCAGTCTGGCTCTGGACTCCATGCCCTTAACCATGGAGAGAACCAGAGGGACTGCCTGAGAACTCACAGGCCCCGAGTTATAAGACCACCGCTGTCACCATGGAGCTAGATGAGTGAGGCTTAGCAAGGTACAGTCCCTTGCTCTAGGTCGTCCAGGGTGGTGGAGCAGGGAGTCCAACTCAGGGTAGTCTGGCTACAAGACCCACTCATAGTCACTGTCTCTCTCCATCATGCCCCGACAGATCTGTGGGGCCAGTACAACTTGGCCTGGGCCTTGGAGATTGTATGGTCTAGTTGGGAGGCATCACTGATGCACCCAGGGCAAGAAGGCACCACACAGGCAGGGCTCAGAGACATGTTTGGGACTGGGGACCCAAGGTGCTCAAAGGAAGGGAAGGGCAGCCATAGCTGGAAAAGTCCAGAGCGCTTCATGGGGGAGGCAAGAACTAGACTGGGCTCCAGAGGGGACCGGTGTCCGGTGGGGAGGAGAGGACGTCAGAAAATGAGCATGGCAGGGGAGGCAGAAGGGCAGGATCATGTGTGGGTGCATGATCCGCTTCATTCAGCAAGCAATTGCTCCATGCCTGGCATCTTCCCTTTAGAAAGGCAATGAAAAGGAAGAATAAAGGCTTGGCAACCGAAGGGGTGGACTTGCACGCTGACTTCCTGGTGGATAGTCAGGGTTGGGGTGTGTGCAGGGTGTTGGGAGAAGCTGGGCAGAGGGTGTCCATTAAGGACCTGGCTCATAACAGCCCTTTGGGAAATGATGGTGATTATGGTCATTAGCTCAGGGTTCAGTGTATTCAACGTAGTCGTTACAGGGGAAGGGCAGCTGTTCTCACACCTTATTTTATTATGTAGCAACTCACTTCTGTCAGTGACCCCCCCCCCATTCACTCCCAAGCTTGCTCTCCAGCTCTATCAAGTGTGGAAAGACACCAGGCACAGTGGTTCACACCTATAATCCCAGCACTTTGGGAGGCAGAGGCCAGAGGATTGTCTGAGTTTAGGGGTTCGAGAACAACCAGGGCAACTTGGCAAGACCTCATCTCTCTCTCTACAATGAATCAAAAAATTATCCAGGCATGGTGGTGCGCACCTGTGGTTCCAGCAACTTGGAAGGCTGAGGTCAAAGGATTGCCTGAGCCCAACAAGTTGGGGCTGCGGTGGCTGTGAGCGTGCCATTGCACTCCAGCCTGTGTGACGACTTTGCCAACAGTAGCTGTCGGGTGCGGTCCCACGGTCCCATACCCCCCAGCCCACAAGCCCTCACCCCAAGTCTCTCCTTCAGACCTACAGCTGGTTCTTCACCAGCGGAGGGAGCTGATCTGTGCACCACCACACCCCTCCTGAATTCCTTTCCTGATACCGGGATACCTGGGCCCTCCCCTGAGAATAAGCATTCATAGCATCTGCTCTGTTAACATGTGAAGCAATTAGGACCATGTGCAAAGAACTATAGTAGAGACATGCTCTGTGTTGATTCAGAAAGCCTCTCTGGCCGACCTTTCACTAAGCAACACTCCTGAGCTATTTGAGGAGGTTAGCCTATTTTTAAGAAGCAGTTGCCAGGAAAAAAAGAAAAAATATATATATATATTTATATAATGCTTTGATATTTCCTGTTTTTGGGAGCTGGTGTTCAAATTGCACCTCGTTTTTTTAAAAAAAAGTAATTAGAAGTGATTGAAATCCTCAGCGGATGTTTTAGATGTTTAAATAGAAAGCACAGAGGAGGCCCCTGGGAAGGGTACGCAGCTCCGAGCTTCCAACCTGTGGCAACTTTGCCCCATTGTGTTTTGATTAGAATCCTTGCTCCATCATCAAAGCTGATTATGGATTTGATTAGCGCGTTTTTCTGCTGTTGTTTGATTCTCTTTCTTCTCTTTCTCTGCTCTTGGAGGGGAATGTGTAGCGTGG